CTTTACCTTAATTAGTCTGTGCAACTCAAATAGTTGAACCGCAAATACTCTTTGTTGACTGTAATGAGAAACAGAGTCACATCAGGAGATGATCCATAAAAAGAGTCACAAAGAGAGATATAGTTTCTTTTGAACAACTAATCGAACAATAGAATCATGATAGGGAAAAAGAAACAAGAATACATAGCTAAGCAAATCAATGCGTCCAAGGACAAGTTAAAGCATAACCAGAAAACTTTCAATAGAAAAAAAAAAAAAAAAATTGAAGACACATAATGGGACGGGTTCATTGAAATCTAGCTTACCGTGCAGCTTATCATCTGCAAAATGTGATTCTCAGGTATTTAACAAAAAGTAAGAAAAGAAAAGCCTGTTATATGCATTGGCCATGAATCCTGATACCTTACCATAGGGACAAGAGTACAGTGAACCTTACAATTTGACTCACAGAGTCTAAAATCAATAAGAACTCTGTAGTTCACAACCACACTAAGGATCCTCTTAATCAGTAGCAAGAAGAAACTATAATTCTGCATAAGACTCATAGCTAGCTTTATGTATGGTGAACTAAAATTCAGATCCCGGGGTCCTCAGAAAAACATTCCCCTACCTGGTTCAACCCCTTGAATGACAAGTAGGGAAAGTGCCCAAGACGACAGTTAAAAGCAATACCAAACCGAGACAGGGACATGTTCCAACAACCAGATGCAAAGAAGACATAGTATAAACTATAAAGCCATGAACTGTCTCGGAGGGCACCTTGCACAATATACGTCAACAGAGAATGCCCCTCCCTGCTATAACATGATCCAACGTGTTAACTGCGTTAATATTCTACCGAGGGCTCTAAAATTAAACATATAATAGGACCATTTTAGGATGAATCGGGGGCCTCTCCACTATGGAACCATCACTTCTCAAGCCAAAACCAGAACTCTTCTCCCAAATGGAGCAGAATATAAAACTGAGTTATAATCCTATATGTATATCAGCGATCAATCATCATTAAGCATGAAAAAAAATGAAGAAAAGTGTTCAAGAAATTTGAAATTTGGTGATATTGAAATATGCCCTACCACAGTCCTCCATGAAAAATAGGAAAAAAGAACAGAGGAAAGCTTCAATAAAATTATGGAACCACACTTCAGTATTAACTTTTTGCAAGAAAAGAACGTCGGTATCAAAGAAGGAGATGGATAAAAAGAGCGGGGAATATATAACCAAGTTAACTAAAGTGTAAAATTTATAGTGACTTACTTGGCAATAGCTTTCCTTGCTCTCCAGAAACGTTTTTGACCTAATATTCCCACAACGTCATCGGGAGAGACATCCATGCTGGATATAGAATCCACCATCGAATCATCAGAAACGTCATCACTTGCCTCTTCATTTATCTGCTGCAGAGAGGCGCATCCTCTGCTTCTGCTGTATTCACGACCAGTATCAATGTCTTCAGGACTGCAATGACCATCTTCTGAATGACTTTCCGTTTCCAAGTGAGATTCAGCTCCATTATCAGTGTCCTTCACACGAGTTTCGCCACCATCTCGGTATAACCGATTTCTAGACTCTTGTCTCAAGGAAGCATTACAATCATTTACTCTGTCATAACTCGATGCTGATTTTTCGAGATCAATTTCCTCTGTGACTGATAAATCTAAAGAGATTACAAAGCCACCTGACTTTGCCTTCGCCTTGACCTGATCCCTACCCTCAGGTTTTGAACGTACGTTTTGCTTTGAGCTTGTGCGATTCACTTCTTGAAATTGAAGGGAGTTACGAGGGCTAGGTTCCACCAATGGGGTATGTTTTTCCTTCTCAATGCCAGTCTTGTTTCTGCCATGACCCTGAGATCTTCTTGAGTTAATATACACTGGAACTGCGAAATCTTCTTCCTCTCGTACCATTTTCCTCTGATCGTGCTGTGCCACAGATCTCACATTTTCCATGAAGGACATTTGGGAGACAAACTTCTCAGTTGCTTGGTTTGCAGCTGAAGAATCAAGATGCTGAGCAGATAAGTTTCTTTCCACACCACAAGGCTGCAGAAATAAAGGGTTAACAAGAGAATTCAATCCCAAAAGTTCAATCTATAAGCAAAAAGAAGATATTATGATCTGATAACAACTGAAACATTGATCAATCACTGTCCTACTCTTTCTTACAATATCTATATAACATCCAAAACCATACAAGAGGCTATATATTATATAATAACCTGATTAGATGGTCCAGGATGAACCAAAGTGCTTGTGTTGTTACTACGCAAAGTTCCATGATCACCAAACCTCTGAGAAGGAATACTAAGCTGCTCATAAAGAGCCATCTTGTTTCTAGGAGGAGCTCTAGGTCCTCCTTTATCTGCATCATTCACATGAAGCCGAGGAAACATTGGTTCCAATATCTTCTCCTCATCTTTCCCTCTCTTCATCACACAAATCACAACCTAACTTCACACCAAAAATCTTCCTTTTCTCTCAATAATTTAACCTAAAAATTGAAAAAGACTCCAACTTTCGTAACAAGAAGCTTCAATAAAACAAACCCACCAATCAAATGAAATAGCTTAACCCAAAGGACCGACTAAGATAGAGATCTCACCACCAATCAGAGAAAATGAAATTAAAAAAAAAAAGGACTAAAGAGAAATCAAACAAAACCCAAGTGAGTTTCACCTTGCTAATCGAGTAACAGAGTCGGTGAATTTAGTAGAGAGAGCAAAAAGGAACCAGAGATTCAGAGGAGGAAGAAGAAGATGACTTGTGGGGAGAGAGAGGATAGAGGAAAGGGGCAAAAAGAGATAGGAAAAGTGGAGCCCAAAAAGATAGAAGGAGAGGATCTCTTTTGGAGATATTATTGATTTAATCCATTTGGACATTTTTTTACCACCGGAAAGTGCGCGACAACGTGGACTCCTTTTGTCGTTGTAATAAGCTAAGCTGCATGGAATCGGAAGCGGGTACGTGGAAGCGGAAGCGTTCGGAAGCGTAAAAGCGAATTTTTTTAAAAATATAGGAAGCGGGTACGGATTGGAAGCGTGTATATATATATATATATATATATATATCTGTATTTGTAAACAACTATCCAAATACATAATTTAAATATTGCAAAGATAAAAGTAACCCAATATTGCAAAGATACATATTTTTTTTTTGATACAATCTCTCTCTCTTTATTCAGGAAGTACCACACGTACTCAATAGTCAATAGCCTACTACACACTACAGCCACCCTAGGACACTCATTCACCTGCTTTGGAACTCTAAAAAACATCGACAAAGTAGACAAAACACACTTACACATTGATGGGCCTTCTCACTACCACAGGCCCAAAAACAAAAACGTCCAGCCCATAGACTTCATCTTCTTCTTCTTCGATACACCACGAAGGGTTTGTAAACGCAGACCGCATCAATCAACACATATCCATATTCAAATTAATCATTCGACGCTTCCATTCTCTTTTTGTGCGGTTCCAAATCGGAATCATGCGTTTCCCGTGAGCTTCCAAATTCACCTTTTTGAGAATCGCGATTCCATAGCGCTTCCGAACGATTCCGAGCGCTCCCGCTCCCGCTTCCGCTTCCGAAGCGAGAATCGGAGCTTTCGTCACGCTTCCATGCTGCTTAGGTAATAAGACTAAAGAAGAAGAAACTAGAAAGTAAAGAAATCTTAAAAAATAAACTCATCCAATACATCACTTTTTGTTTTCTTTTAGGATACGTAAGAAGATGACCTTATTTCTAGTTTATAGAGAATGATATAGACATTGATTGGTAACCACTTTACAAAGCTGTATAAAGCGTTACAAAAAGTATACAGTTTTGACGGTTACCAATCACAATAGATATATTACCAGTTTTTAAAAGTTTTATAATCAAAGCTTTGTAATTTAGAATACATGATTGTTCTCAGCTAGATAACTTATCTGTTTCTTTTTTCTTTTTTTTGAAACAAATGAGTGGAGTCATCGACTTCTACAAACTAGGGAGCGAGTGTCAAGCTCTGACCGCCATCTTTAGTAAACTCTACGTGTTCTTTTGGTTCGTGGTCCATCTGTGTACGACGATCGGTTCGCTATTTTCGGAGGCTTTAAAGTCTTGTTTACCCACCATACAAATCAGTATATGATATTTTCACTACAGGAAATGTGGGTATTGATAGCACTAAAAGATAGCGTTTTTAATGTCTCTGCTATGTTTGACTTATTCGATAGCGTTTTGTGAATTGTAAACGCTATAAATGATTGAAGCGGGATAAATGAAATTCACGCGGCCAAGTTTCGGGTTACTAAAGTGTAATTCCCGCTATTGAAAATGTTAAGAGGGAAAAATGAGAAATTTGGCTAAGGCAAAATAAATTAAAACAAGAAAATCACTTTTTCATTTTTTTTCCTAAGGCAAAAATCACTTTGTCTCTCTCGATTTCTCTCGATTTGTCACAGTCAACAACAGGGATCTTAACTTTGGTCAACGCCGCAGATGATGGGTCCAGTAGTTTCAGAAAAACCAACCTGACCGGAGTTAGAATTTATCCGACATTGAGTCGGCGACGATTCTCATCGATCGGAGTTGTGTCCCCAATTCGAGGAGATGCCCAATCTTCCTTTAGTCGCAGGTAAAGCCTCCATTTTTGGGTTTTGTGTCTGTTTCTTAGAGTAACACACATCCTCTGGAATTGTTTGTGGTCACTTAATGTAAATCTAGCAATCTAATTGTGCTCTTGACCCCTTGAATTGCTACAGTTCTTTCGTTTGCTCTCAGAATCTTGGTTTGAGCGGTGGAATCAGTGGTTTCAGTGCACCTGAAGCTCTGCCAAATGTTTGTGAAAATGCCACTCTTTCTTCCATCAAATCTTTCAACCAGGTGAGATTTTGATTTTAATCCCTTGTTTCTAGGTCTTTGATAAATCTACTAGTTAATATCTGTATCTGTTTTTTTTTCTGACTTATAGATTGACTCACTTGCTTCATGCTGACTAAACATGTTTGGTCTTATATGTTCTTTAAATTTCATTTGTATGGCTTGGATTTGAGTGACACTGTATTACGTATTACTTGATTGGATTTTAAAGAATTTTAGTTTGTTGAGCTTCCAATGGCTTTGAAGATAGATATCTAGATATTGAGATTACTATGTTCTCATAATGTGTTTGATCTGTTCTATTTTTTTTTCTCTCAGTTGATTGAGACTTTGATTGATCGGGTTGATCTATCTGAAGCTGAGGCTGAATCATCTCTCGAGTTTTTGCTGAACGAGGCAAACGAGGCACTAATTAGTGCCTTTCTGGTTCTCCTGAGAGCTAAAGGAGAGACATACGAAGAAGTAAGTCAAGCTAGGCGTATACAAAAAACATACATAATTCTAAATTATAGCACTTCACTAAGTAAAGCACTTCACTAAGTAAACAAACGATGTTGGGTAGATTGTGGGGTTGGCTAGGGCAATGATGAAGCATGCCAGGAAAGTGGAAGGATTAGTCGATGCTGTGGACATAGTTGGAATAGGTGGTGATGGAGCAAACACAGTCAATATATCAACTGGATCTTCAATACTTGCTGCAGCTTGTGGTGCAAAAGTAGCAAAGGTAATAGAGGATTAAGCTACAGATTAATGGAGAAAAGAAGCTGGCTTTCAATGAGTTTTTGAAAGACCCATCTGGCATGGAGGCTGTGATCAACGCTAAGGCTTTGCAGAGTTATCATTTAGTTGAAGATACTGATGATACTTACAGCAGGTTCTTTCTTTAACCCTCTAGTTCAATGTTCATAAGACAAAATTTACATACTTGTCTTGCATAAAGGTCGTTTGCATATGTTTTAGGATCTGTATTGCTTTGATTGTCATCTGTAGCTTCTTAGTTTGCTCAGTAGCTGCAGAAATTTTGATGTCCTAGAACTGTTATTTCGGATTTATCTTTGCTTGTTCTCTGATTTGATGTCCTAGAACTGTTAATAGTGATACTGTCTCAATACGATCCCTTTATATGCTTAAGTGTATGTACAAGCATGAACTAAGATCTGAAGATAAAAAGAATCTGAGAAGTCTAATTGACAAACAACATCTTTGCCAATTTTTAAGCTGTATAATATGTGAGATTCTCCAATTTGAATGTCCTCTGCAGGAGGAAGTAGTTTTGGTTGTCCAGAGAATGCTGCAGCTTCTATAATTAGGTAAATACACATAGGTTCTGTTCACATGTTTCATTATGTGCATATGAATATGTTTAGATATAGCTCAGTAGTAATAATCAGGTAATAAATTGATTAGATATAGCTCAGTAGTAATAATAAATTGAATGTGTGCTCTAAGTATCATAGTTCGTGGTTTCAGATCATGTGTGCACAGAGACATTAAGTCTAGCAACATTCTGATTGATGACAAATTCAATTCTAAAATTTCTGAGTAATATGTGTCAGTGAACTGAGTAATGCCTATCATTTGGCACCAAACTCTTCTAACCTTCGTGCAACTGTAAGGAAGAAAGAGTCATTCAGCTTCTTTTGCCTAGCAAAATCACTATCTTTGTGTTGAATCCTCTATTTTTGTTGCAGGTACAAGCATGAACTAAGATCTTGAGTTTTACAGCTTTTATGCTCCAAGTATATATGAAAATGTTCATGTTGCAGAGGTTTGAACAAAAATCTCAAGATTCTGAGTCATTACCACTTGTTCCCACCACCAAAACGTTTCTCAGGTAAACTCTATCACTATTACATTTCCTATCAAAAAATTTCGAAAAAGTGTTAAGGTCATTTTCTTGTTTTGTGTTTCAGGCGATTCATTCAAGCAGCACAAGCGTCTCACAAGGTGATTCCCGATATGGAGATGGAGTTTCTAGCAAATCAAGTTATAAACGTGTTTACTTAACATTTGTAAACTTCAATTGACATTTTGTAATTGTCGTTTCATGCATTTGATTTCAATTTCTCTAGTTCTGTATATAGCTTGGATGTGTATAAGAAACTTATTAGATTATGTAATATTAGTATTGTGAAATTAGATTATGGTAATGGTACATTGTGTAATATTATGGTATATATTGGTACATTTTGTAATATTATGATAAAAAAATTAAATTCCTAAATTAAGTCTATAAACCCTAAATTAAAGTTAAAATCCTAATTAAATTAAATCTTTAATCCTAAACCCTAAACACTAAACCCTAAATTAAAGTTAAAATCCTAATTAAATTAAATCTTTAAACCCTAAATTAAAGTTAAAATCCTAAATTAAAATCCAAAAACTATCTAACTTGAGTAAAAAAATCTAAACCCCAAAGTTTAAACCCTAAACCCTAAACTATGCCCTAGTGTTTATGAACATATAAGTTAGATAGTTGGAATACTAATTTATATTAATTGTTCTTAATTTTAAAATTTTATACTTATAAGAAAAAATATTCTAAAAATTGAAATACTTATATTGAATTTTTAAAGAAATAATTTCTATTTTTTTCATTAATAAACAATTTTATATGATAACTTTCTGATTTTTTCATTATTAGCCAATGAGAACTCACCTCCCACATTTTGGGACGAATCCTACACCGTTAGATCGCGCCGACTTTGATCTGAGCCGTCCTTTCTTATTGTTGACGTGATTAATATACACCGTTGATCTGTCTCGCTGATTTGATCTGAGCCGTTCATGTTCTTAGCCAATAAGGAGTAACTACCGAGATTGCAGTCTGGGCTTATTCTCCACCGTTGATGAATTTAATCCGACGGCTAAACGTTTCTCCTTCTTTTCTTTTTTTTTTGGTTAAAACTTCTTTTCCTTTTGGCTTTCTCTTCCTTAGTACGATCTGTTCTTAGATCTTACATCTTATGGGATAGGTTAAAACTTTCAGTCTTCTTCTTCTTCGTTGAGATAGGTGAGCTCATCGACCAACAATGGCTTCCTCTGCAACAGCCCAAAATTTGCTATCTTTCTTCTCCTCTTCTCTCTTTTTATCTTCCTCTCACCAAATCCCTAAAACCTACATTTCCGTTTCAAAATTCGGCTCCGGCAAAGCATTGAAACCGCTCTCTGTTGCATCTCAGCTAGCGACTCTTCCAATCATCTCATTCGAGGGAGAGAAGGTCGGGGAGACTTATCTGGACCTCAAAACGGCGCCGGAAGATACCACGCGTGCCGTTGTTCAAGGCAGATTTCAATCGTGTATTTGGGTTTATGGGTCCAGTCATCTCTCTGACGGATATCACAAGGAGGAGATTAGATAAAAAGTCAGATTTATGTTCCTGAATTTGCAGACGAAGGCGAAGAAGATCTTGGCAATTTTAAGGAACCTACGACTGATTTTAATGACAAAGTAGGGAAGAAGAGACAGAGGAAGAAAGATGAGTCTGGTCTTGAGAAGACGAAGAGGAAGAAGAAGAGAAGAAGCAAGATTCTGTTAAAAATTCCAGCAGAGGTTCAGGAGAAGTGGGATTCAATTACAAACAACGAGAACTCCAAGGTTTGTTTCTTTGTTTGTTGTCTGAATCTCTGGTTCCTTGTTCTGTTGTCATGATATCATAAGTTTGATTTCTCTCTTTATTGTTAACAGGATAGTTTTTTTGGACGACGCTTACATGATGAGCAGAGAGCTATCGGAAGAGACTGGAAAGGAGTCAAGGGTGTGATGGGAATGTCGCTGTGGAGATCAAAGATGGAAGTTTTAGTTGGGATGATGAAGACGACGAGCCTGCAATTGAAAACATTAACTTTGAGGTTAAGAAAGGGGAGCCTGCGATTGTAGGGACCGTTGGGGTCAGGGAAGTCTTCATTGTTAGCTTCAGTTCTCAGCGAAATGCACAAACTTTCAGGCAAGATTTTGGGGAACTGGTAGCAGCGCACGAGACATCAATGGAGCAAGTTGAAGCTGGGTCGGCATCAGCCACTGCAGCAAATGTGCCAATGGCATCACCAAGAACACAGAGAACTATTTCAATAGAGTCTCCGCGTTTACCACCAACACCAAAATCTCCCAAAATACATAGAACTACTTCAATGGTTTTTGTAAACAATGAAATTTGAAATGGGTTACTAAACATTTTAATATTTATATATTTTGTATTAATTTTAATGGTATTTTTTTTTACAAATATTCGAAATTATTTTTTTTTTACAAATATTATATTTAAATTAAAAAATAATCCGTAATTATTTATTATTTTGAATAATTTAAAAACAAACTAATAACACAAAACATTTGCTATCTTTGTTATAGGTAAAATCTAATTAACGAGTTTTAATAACATCTTTATCACGCTATTATAAACATTAACAATTGCACATAAGACAACGCTATCGTTGTATACTTAACTATTGCACAGCGCAAAACCGCTATCAAAAGTGTCCGACTTTCTATAACGGGCGATGTTAGAGCGCTTAAGGAAACGCTATGGTAGATGAATTATTGCGTTTTTCGGCCGCTATTAATACCCACATTTCTTGTAGTGTTTCATATGTTTTGTCCTCATTCGCATGATACAAACAATCATTTTCTAGTAGGTCACCCATCTTGAAATCGATCTAACTCAAACACGTTTAATTGTGGAGTGATGTTTGACCAAAAAGAAAAGTGCACTTTGGTGATATAGGTGAACAAATCAATTCTTTTAACCACTCTTCATGCACCATCATATTTCCTGAAATCGGGATGTTACAACGGGTCGCTCGGTCTAATTCACAATTGGGTTACTCGAAGATTTCTTTTTGGGTTATATGACACTTAACAAGAATTTATCTATTACAAGGAAATATAATGTAATATATGTGGATTTGAAGAGCATTACATAATCATGAGTCATGACCTCTTCTAAGTCATTGAATGGGAGAGCTCCGATCTGTAAGGGTTCTCGAGAATTAAAAAATGAATATGGAAGTTAAAGAGCATGCATAAACTCAAATACTTTCTTTAGCGAAAAATATCAAAGGCTCTAGGGGCTGAAACACATTATTAAAAATGTTCAACACAGAGATTGAAATAGTTATGGATTCACTACAAGAAATTTGTTCATTGATAGCGCTAAAAATATGCTATCTTACGTTATAGATAGCGAATTCACAAACGCTATGTTCTCGGCAGCTATAGTAGGTATCACCCATACAAAAGCATTTTTTGTCGTGCTATTATAAGTCCTTCTAGTATAGCACTAATCGAATGCTTTAATATAATTTTTTATAACTCATAATTTTTGCTATATTATATTTTTGTGTAGCAATTTTTATGTGCTACATTATAAAATGATGAATTGCAAAATTATTTTAAATCTATAAATTTAAAATCCAAATAATTATATGCTACAAAAAAAATTTGTTGAAAGCACGTTTCTTTTCATAGATCATCAAAAAATACATAATTGTAATTTTACAAAATAGTTCAGCATTTAACACCATTTGTTATAAAAACAAAGGTCATAAACAACGTCATAAGTACTGCAATTCAGATGGACTAAACAAAGAACTCCATTGGTTTGCTCTTTCCCTCCCTCCAAGGACTTAGGATGATGTCTCATTCCAAGCAATTCTCATTTCACTGCCTTCTCTATATTTTCTGCAGTTCAGTTCTCTTTTTGAAGTTGGATGTCTTTGTATGAGTAAAAGCAAGTGACTTTCTCAATTACTTCTACAAGATAATGGCTAGAAAACCGTGAGAAAAAGAGGGAACCTGAGATTCATGATGGTCTTTTTAGCATCAGACTTCAAAGACAATCCAATGACCTAAACAGCTTCTGTTGTAGCTTATTCACCAGCCTTAAAAAAAATATTAAAAGAAACTTGCCTTAGGCTTCTGGACCATGCTTCCTTTGTTCTTGTCTTTCATTCCCACAGTCAACAACGTTAACACCTCTGTTGGCAAACATGGAACAAAGGGAAAACAGATTACTGAATTATGATTTACAAAAAATAAACGTTGATGATAAGAAAGGAAATTTTACTTACTCTTCTATGTTGCTAGTCCATTGTGCTTCAGGATCGTAGAGATTGTTACCACATTTGTGATTGCTAAATACACAAAAGATTAGATTATACGTATATAACACACAAGACGAGAAACAGATCTAAACAAGATTAAGTGATAGTAAGAATCTATACCCATTCCAGGTATCACTCAAACTCCACTTCAAAAGCCTTTCTTTATCTCCTGCTTTCTCAATGAATCCAAGCACATGAGAGTACAATTACTAGCTAGGACTAGTATTAACCTTTTGTCCCTTCACTGTCAAAAACAGAACCCATGTAAGTTAAAAAAAATAACGTGTGTATGAAATAAAAATGTAGTAGCTAACCAGAGAAACCCAAAACTTGTGACTTAGACAACCAAAACTTGCAAATTTAGAAACCAAAACCTGAAAATTCATAAACTAAAACCTGTAACAGAAAATCAAAACCTGCAGCCATCAATCTGGAAAGCTATTTCCACTTCCACAATCATCAGAAGCCATAAAAAACAGACTCCAATAAAGGATCAAGTATGAAACATTACCATTAACATTACAAATCTGTAGAGTAATCGTTATCTAAGTCGCAACAACCTAGACTAAAGTAACCAAATTAAATTCTTAAAGATCACATCCTAACAAATCTTAATAGAGTACACATGAACCATTTGAAGCAGCAATGAGAAAATGAGAAAAGTAACGACATCTTAATAGAGTAAACATGAACAATTGCAAACATTTTTCAAAGACTGCACATATATACCAAAGAGGAGACATTGCGACAGTCCATAAATAAGGCATGGTTTGCTTGAATCCTAAGAACTACGTGAGTAAAGACTCCATCATGTTCATTGAAAAAAAAACAAAGAAAAAGCGGAAAGACAGACCTCTCTTGGTTATTTCTTGAGCTTTGCTCTCTTGCCACTCTCACTAAATGGAAAAGAGCTCTGGAAGTATTTGAGGATTCATTGTATCTGGGAAACAAGTAAGATATTAGAGTAGAAAAAGGGAGAGTTCTATGATGTATGAAAATAGATATGTAAAAACTCACTAGAAGAACTCGATGGAGACTTTTTGCTTTCTAAATCGAAATCATTATCTCACTGCTAAATCAATCTAACCCAAATTCATCTACAATTGCTAATAAATCTAGTGAATCCTAACAAAATCGTACATATGGAGCCGAGAGAAAGAGAAAGACGGGAGTCGGAGCGAGAAGGATTAAGCAATTGATCGAGAAACCTTTCAGCTACGAAGAACCAAGCGACGAAGATGGTTTGGGTTTCACCTACGTTTCAGCCACCGAAATTAAATTTATGGTTTAAGGCTATCTCAGACCACCGACGAAGATGGAGACTGAAGATTTCATCAAATTGAAGAAGATTAAGATAAATTTGGGGATGAAAGCGAGGGTGACAAAGAGATAATGGATCTGAAATCTGAAGCGAAACTGATAAAATCTAATAGATCTAGGGTTGCATAATCAGAGGAAGAGAGTAAGCGAGAGAGGAGAAAAGAAGAATAGAGAGGTATAGGAGGAGAGAACGATGAAGGAGAAGAAGATAGAAATTAGGGTTGTCTCTTAATAATTTAAAAAAAAAAAAATTTTGCTAAAGTGTTAAGCGGTTTTTGTGAAATATTTGCAAAGTTTTGGCGGTCATAAGTGATTCCACGTCTCTTCTTTGCTATTATAGGGCTTAGCATTTTTCAAATGCTACGATATAGTTACAAATCCCTCGATATCATCTTTAATAGCATTTGCAAAATCCGTGCTATCCTAATATGCTATCAATGCACACTTTTTTTGTAGTGATTAGTATATAAGGTACACGGACCTCTCTACTCATTGTCAATTATTTTTTAGTTGGAAACTCATATTTACTAAAACACGTTTCAAATCAAGAGAAATCATAATTGACAATATGTACCAACAGTGCTATGCTGCTGAAGACATCAACCACACATTCGAATTCGTTGCTGTCCTCGGGCTTTTATATGCTTAGATCGTCCTTTGAATTCGAACTATATATCCCTTGGTTTCGTCATACTTAAACAAGCTCTTTTTGACATGTGCAAGAGTTTCAGCTTAGGCATTAAATTGTGGGTCCTCTAATGCTAAAATGACGGTTATGTGGCTATCTTCTCCTGGATTCCGAACCGAGATTCAGGATCCGACGCCAACAGTGGTGGATGTAAATTCTCGGGATTACCTGAACAATATGGAGTTTGGACTAAAGAACACATAAATTTACTTACTATAACAACACACATTATCTTGGAGTTCAATATTGAGGATCAGCAATAAGCCAAAGCAGCAAAATTCCTATCGGCAATTCGATATGCTTGGAGAATGATGTTTGTAAAGGTCATTTTTGAATGAGATTGTAAAGTGTTGATAGATATTCTTCATGGAAAAGTTTCAAATATCTATGTGGAAGCCATCATCAACGACATCAAATTCAGAAGTAAAAAGTTGCAATTGCATGTTTTCATATGAATTACAAATACAATGTTTGAGCACATACTCTAGCAAAACTAAAACCTTCTAATTTAGTTTTCTTTTCAAACTAAAGTCTTATTTGATTAAACATTTTGCTTGTAGGCTATGTAAATTCTCTAAATTTTTGTGTTTAGGGCCGCCGGCAATTGTCGGCGATTCCATTTCTTTTCTTTAATTCTACTCTACTTTTTGTTTTAATCTAAATAAAGTGTTTTCTCTAAATTCTGGATTTGTAAGTCCGAATTTCTTCTGCTATTTTGTAATTTTGAATTTACTTTTAGATCTAAAAAAAAAAACAATTATGTTTGGATTCAAAGTGTCTCTGTTCGACATCCATGGTGGACGATCTATGGAAGTGAATATGTGCCTTTGGATGTGTTGGATCTCTTACCGAAATGCAATTTCTCATAGCTACGCCGTATTTATTCCGGCATATTTTGTCTATGATATGTCAATTTTAACATTCATTGTTAGCTTTGTGTTAGTTTCCGGTGGTCATCGTGACCGTTTGCTGGCTTTCCAATGTTTGAAACAAATATGTGAAGATTTGTTGTGAAAACGGCGACCGCTTTGGAAACCGCCATGAAATCAAATCATAAAGACCTTGTGTTTCTGTTCTTTGAAGAACATCATCAAGAGAATCGAGATCATGGATCTATCATGGGCATATTTACGACCAAAACAATGCCATCATCTCACGCGGGAGATGGAAATGTTTGTATAGTTTACGATGTAACTGATGGATCACAACCTTTTGATTTTCAGAAAACGTATTGAGGTTTTATAAAAGAGACGATAGCTAAACAAAAAGATCAAATTAGAGTGATGACAAATATGACCAATAAAATTAACAGAATAATAAATCTGTTAGCGTGTAAGGCTTACTTAAACAATAAAGTAACATATAATTTTATTTTTTCGATTATTTTGTTTAGTATAAGTATTGGTTGTATAGATTGTATTATTGTAAAGCTATCACTTGTAATTCTCAATAAAGTTAATAAAGGACAATAAAATATATATATATATACTAGATATGGACCCGTGCGTTGCACAGGTTGCCGATCGAGATTATCATTCTTAATATTTTTATTTTATTTTTGTAAGTTTAACTAAAATTCTATAAACATATATAGTTTAGCAAATGCAGCATAATTATTTCTAAATATAGATTTATTAGCATAATGCACAATATAAAACATTATTTATAGTTATGTTATAATAATTAATAAATTATCTAATATAAATATTGGTCTATTTATAAAATTATATAATTTTTTATTTATTATAAGTTATGAAGTTATAAATGTTCATATGTTATATTATTGAATTTTAATAAGTTATTTACATCCATTGGAAGAGTGTGTTACATCTTATAATTTCAATGTGGGCAAGATGAAAACAAAACTATGATAATAAGAAAAGATAAAATTATATAGTTACGTAAATATACGAACGATATATGTATAATATGTAAACATGTAGTCTGAGTTACGTAAATATAGATGTTTTTTTAGAAAAGTTTAACGTCATAATAAAATTGTGACAATAAAAGAAGAGAAATATGAGACTGTCTATATCTATGTCATGTAACTTAATTGATAATATGAAATATCCTCAATTTGCTACATAGCTTTTCTCAGTTTAGGCCCACATTACAAATTTCTTCGTTTTTTCTTCTTTCTAATTCTCAAATCTTTATGTATCTCTCTTATTAGATTTCTCTTATTTTTGTTTGAACTCCTCTTTCTTTCTCTTTCTCTCCTTCTCATCGGATTTCTTCACCACCATATCTATATATTTTTTTCCCTATCTCAATTTCTCGCATTCGTCGGGCATCACTACCGAGTCTCACTACTCTGACCCACCACCACAACTAAATCTCACTACTATCACAATCACCACCACCATCAATACCGAATCTCGCTAATTCCGACTCACCACCTTAATCAATTTTTACCGCCGCCACCACCACCAAGCTTGAACCCCCATCATCAACACCAACACCACTGCTACCGCCTCTCATCCTCTTTCCTCAACTTCTCTTATTTTTTTTTTGGTAGGATGGGGGGACTAAGTCCCCCACAATTTATTGAAACATAACTAAAAGAAAATTACACACGAACATAACGTGGGCGCATGCACCCGATCGCATCGTCATAAACAATAGAGTCCACCACATCCGGTTTAGACTCAAGCATATGAAAACCTAAAGGAAGAGAAAACGCATAGTTAGCTAACCCGTCCGCGAGACGGTTAGCCTCCCTATACACGTGAGAAACGCGGACTATCCAGTCACGCGACAGAAAGCCATAGCACAAACGCACTAGGAATGACAAAGGATGAGAATCATTAATCCCTGTCTTGAGAAATCCCACCACAATCTCCGAGTCCACCTCCAACTCAACCCGTGTAATCCGCTTCTCCCAAGCTATATAGAGACCATAGTACACGCCCCATAACTCCGCCAACGGGGCTGAGCATACACCTATATTCAGAGCAAAACCACCACGCCAACTCCCATCTCCGTCTCGCAATACACCTCCCGCTGTCGCCAAACCGGGGTTGCCACGGGAAGCGCCGTCCGTGTTCAACTTAATCCAGCTTTCCCCTGGCGGTAACCATCTAATCATTCTTTCCTCTCTCCCGGCCCGCCGTGACTGATCTTGCAACATCACATGTGCCTTGGTCACTTCTTTTGTCCGATCTTTGAGGAATTGAACTCTATCTCTACACTTCCAGTCTGTCCTCAACTTCTCTTATTACCCCACCTTTTTTATCTCCTCCGACATTAGACAAGCCTCTCCGACAATAACTCTAGTCTATGTCTATCGCCGTTCATAATTATTAATTTGCCTCAATTGCCATATATTCATTAGATTTGAATATCACATGCTATTTTTAGAAAAACATCGTGATTCGAAGTATTTTTTTATAATTGATATGAAATAATATCGTTAAGAAATTAGTTTGTTTAATGAGAAAATATGAGACAATCTATTTGTTTATATAAAGGTGTCTATTTACTATATTTTTCTTATAGGATTAATAATAACTCATTGCATAATTTTCTTAAATTTTTTTCTAATTTTAAAATTTTTTCTTTTACAGTTAGTAACTTATAAATAAAATGTTTAACATAATTTTATAATTTCGATTTTTATGGAAATATACATATAAATTCTTTATATATATGTATAGTTTGCTAGATGGCAAAAACTCTTATGGAAATATATGTACAATTTCCTTATAATTAGTTTTTTACAATTTAAAACTGTTTAAATTTATAATTATCCTTTTACCTTTTTTTTTTTTTTAAAGGAAAATTTTATTTGACACATGTCAAAATCTCAGTTTGAAAAATTTGACACGAGTCACGATCTCGTGAGTTATTAACTTTGAAAATCATACTTTATATAATAAGATATATATACATTAAGTTTTTAAAAATTAATATGTGAAAGAAAATAAGAGAAAAGAAAGAAAAAAAATCAATGTAGCAGCACTTAGCCCTCGTTTTATCAAAAAAAAAAAACCAGGAAGAATTCTAGTTGCGGTTATCTTCAACCTAAAGACCCATCCGTTACTGAATCTGCTTCGTTGCTTTGATCGAAAATGGCGTCGTCGTCTCCAACTCAGCGTACTCACGTCTCAATTCCTCCCGAACCAGGTCCCTTCTTCTCTTCAATCCCTCAATTTCCAGATTCTTAACTCGATTTTGATCATTCGTTGCTTATCGCTGTTTTAATTTTACCGTAATCTATCTGCTTTATCCCTCCTAAAGAATTCTGTGTTTTTGCGCCTTTGAATCAATTAATTGAATTAGAAACCGATTAAATGTTTAATTTACCTTCATTTCTCATCGAAATGTGTGTTTAGCCATCTATTTTCGCTTGTTCTTGGAACTTATAGGGTCATATGAGCAATTTGCAATTTGGATTGTGTACTAAACTATCAATTGTTAGTTTAGATTTGTGTTGTGCAAGTAGTAGATATATTGTCATGAATCTCTTGTCTCATGTCTGAGTTTTATTCTGCAGGAGGAAAGTCACTGACACAAGAAGCTAAT